GGTGGGGCCCACTTGAGGGTTGTTAGTAAGCGGGTTTACAGTGGAAGGCGTAACTGTTTCCGGTGTCAAAAAAGTTCGAACAGGCAAAATGGAGGTTGCGACGGCGACGGAGGCGTCGGCGCCGGCGGCGAGCGGCGGGGCGAGCAGGCGGGGCCACCCGTTCCCGTGGCTCGACGTGGCCATCTCGGAGCCCTACTACTTCCTCCACCTCATCGCCTTCTTCTCCTACTTCGCGGCCCGCACCACGGCGCCCGCGGCCGAGGACGACCCCGAGCTCCACAGCCGCCTCATCCGACGGGTGAGATCCCGCGGCCCCCGAGTCTAGATCCGGATCGCGCCGCCCCGCCGGTCCTTGAACTGTTTTGGCTCACGCGGATCGGCGTCTGTGCCTGTGTTTCTGCAGGAGATCCAGGCGGTGCTCGTGTTCCTGGTGCTCTTCACAGTGAAGGTACGGTATCTAATGACCACCACTAGTGTTTCAGAGTAAAGGTTTCCTTGTGCCGTAATGGAATTTGACAATTCGACTGGTTGGAGCACTAAGCTGCGTGTGAAATAGAGCTGGAAATGTACAGTTTCCACGCGATGCTAACCTGACCATAGTGCCACTATGTGCTATGAATCTATGATGCCCAGCAGTCATGATTTTAGCGATTTTCTGTATTTGCATTTGGGGTCAGTTAGGTCCCAGACGCAGGTCTCTCAAAAGCACTACTATGATTTGTATGAAAAATGAAGCTTGTAATTTGCTGACCAAATAAGTTGATGCTTAACAGATTGTGAAGGAGGAACACTGGGAAACATTCATCGCTGATTCATTGCTCTATGCAAAGGTGTGTTCATATGGAATGGCTGTGTTCTCTTACTTTGTTATCATGATCTCTGGTTTTTATATAACTTCTAGGCAAGGGCAAGCCAGGATACTAAAAATCATCGCTGTTCCTTACTACAGTTGATATTGCTGAATATCTTGATGCTCCTTATGTTCTTGTTTTGCTTTGCAGGGCCTCTTGTTGGTTGTTACTTTTGTTATCGATTATTGGTTGACCGTTGGCTACTTACTGGGATTTATTGGTATGCTTTTGTTTTTCTTCGGGTTTTATTGGTGTGCATTCTTATGAAGAGCAAAGTAAAATAACTATCGTGTTTTATATCACCACCCTGACAATACATTCAAGTTTTTGAGCACTTAATAGAGAATTTTCTTCCTGTCTGAATCTCCTACAGTGTTCATTCTGTGGTTAATATTTGTATTCATGCAATGCTAAATTTTATGCTGTATTAGACTCATCTCAATCATTTTCCAACATAACTTGTAGGCTATATCAGTTGATGTAGCAGTCGCTTAGTTTGATCGATGTTATGATGTAACCTTTGTACCCTTCAACTTTGTCCTGCATACTGAATCTGTCTATTAGTCTATTACTTACACTGCATCCCTGATCATCAAACACCCATCCAAGTTTGCAAAACAAAGCTGTAGCCATGAGATTAGTAGCACCAGACTATAAAAGACTATGAATGAATTAATAGTCAATAACTGCAATTGTTAAATTGTAGTTTTACTCAGTCAGTAATGAAAAAAAGATCACTCACTGTTTCCTACCGGAGCACTGAGGAGGAATATAAGTTATGCAGCAAGTGTCAGTTGCTACTTGCAATGTAATTTTAGCCCAAGCTCTTATCAGATTATCCATCCCTTGCTTGTAGCATAACATCGAGGCATAGAAATAGTACTCCTGATCAGGATCATATTCTGCAGGCAGGATGTGAACAATTTGATTTCCTTGTTATGTACCATGGCAAGACACTCCCAGGCCAGCAAGATCCGCATTGACTAGCTCTGATATGAGTTACATACCATGTTGCAATGCTGATGCCAGTGGCATTGCAGCAGTCACTACAGCAGAGCATCAAGTGTATTTTTGTGTGTCAAGTTATGAGCCATTATGCTAGTCATAGTAGGAAAGCATTGATACTGCCAAGGAGAAATATATCTGATATGGGGCACACTGGTTGTCGATTGCCTACTTGCTCCTCTTAGATTTCCTGATTTATTTAAGTCTTGATGCTTCTTAATATTCCAATTTCAAGATGTATTCAAATCATACCATGAATCCTATCCGAAGTTTTTCTTGGCAGTAAAGTTTGAGATATGCTTTGGATACAATTTTCATGCTAATCTAAACTGCTTCATTCGCCCATTTTAACCGTTGCTTACGTTTAGTTTTTCATTTGCAGTTATATATGCTATGGCTCAACAGCCACCTTATGATGGCCTAGGTACGTTTTACAATTATATTTTGAGTCATTTAATCATGGAAGTTATGTATAGTGTTGTCCCCCTCAAAAGAAAAGAAAAAAAATCTGTGTCGGCAAACTGTATTCCTAAAGTAAGATGATATTCCTTCAATTTTTATTCGTATCTTTTGTCTGCACCATTGATGTGATTATTCCGCTTCTTGGTAAGTAAACTTTAATCGATGCTTACCATGTCCCATTAGCTACTCATAGTTGCAAACCCGGTTCTGTCAGGTATATCCTATGCGGGGCACATTGGTTGTGGCTTGCCTACTTGAGAATCATCTGTCATAGCTAACGAGTGGATGACTTGTGATTGAGTTTTGAGACCAGGGGATGACATTATAGATAAATAGGCAATTGATGTGGCCTTTTTTGTTCCCACTTGTCTCAAAGACAGGAGTTTGGAACCCAGAATCACACTGGTATACTAGTACATGTTGTAGGATAACCCCAGTTCCTGAATTGCCACAACGTGGGCATTCTTCTTACTTCTTAGCGAGAATTATTGCAGCTGGAATTGTGAGGCCTATTCACTAATTAGCCTAAAAGGCCTTAATCTGAAATTGGTAAAGTGGATCATCTAAAAAAGTTAATTTAGCTGGGGATTACCAATATTGCAAACCTGGAAAAAATGCATGACAGAAGGTTTTGAGCCGGATCAAGATCATGAGTTGAATAAATTATGCTCACAAATTGGTTTCTAGCTTAACAATTTCGATCCTTTTACTATGCGTGAGTACCACTTTTCCTTAGGCACACCCATATGTACATCCAATTGCTAAAAACGTGGCACTGTAGAATCATATTCTTCTGTTAAGTGATAATACTGAATTAGTATTACACATACTCGCATTATTCATATTGATTTTATACTAATTTCAAACATCACCACACTTCTCTCTTAATTCGGAGATGAGATAAGATGTTCATTTTTTTTACTTAGGTCATTTAAATCATTTGACCCCGTTGCAACTGGAAAGCCTGCTAACTGAAGAGCCAACAACACGATTTTGGCTGGTAATTTCCTGTACTTATTTTTTTACTACATTTGCATTTCACTTTTGTGGTAGACTTCTGATAACATATATTTCAATCCCATATTATATGTTACTGCCTTCAGTGAGTAGGATCCTATTCAGAATTTGCTCATTGTTCGATTTGTTATTTAAATTTTAACAGGTTGAGTTCCGGACTTCCTTTTTAACACCATGTATACAAGCAAGCAGTGTCATGCCTGAACTCTCTAACATGTAAGTTATTTGGAGTTTCTTTTACTCCTTTTACAATTATTTTTGCACTTCTGAGCTCTGTATTTGTACAATAAGTCTCAAAACTCTCCAGTAAAATAGACTCTTTCCGTCATTATATTTGACAGTTTGCAGTAATTTACAATCTAGGGCTACTAGAGTTAGGTATTAGCTGGGCATTACTTGAGAGAGTTTGAGGTTGAGTCTTAGCTGGAAGCACAAGATATTCTTGTCATTTAGCTTTGCAGCCTCATGCCATTTGCATTACTTTGCTTCTGAAATACACTATTTTATTTTACTTCTTTTTTTGAAATGGATATACGCTATTTTACTGATTAGCGAGCTTATGTTTTCACAGTCAATATTAGTATGATTAGTCATTAGTGTAATAATCTATCAAATAGCTTTAGCTTGTTCTGAGCACAATATAAGTACTCCCTCCGTTCACTTTTGTAAGTCATTTCAGAAAACTCAAAATGGCTGTTTTGTACATTGTCTGAAATGTCTTCAAGGTCTTATAAAAGTGAACAGAGGGAGTAGTATTTTCCATATATTGGATCACGTTCTGATGATTCTTTTAATGCAGATACTCCAACAAGAACATTTCTTTTGGATTAGTTGATCTTGGGCATTTTCCAAATGCTGCAGCGAGGTTTGGAATATCCATGTGGGGTAAATCTTTAATTTTACTTCTGCCATCTATGCTCTTTTTTTCTTGGTTTGGATGGTCTACATTTCAGTCCTACATAATCGATGGACTCCTTACTGGATCTTGTTCAGAATGTGCTCAAGTCTTTCTTCCCACGAGGGTTACATTCTCTGTTGATTTCATTGACAGATCATCTTCCCACTTATATACTGTTTGACAAGGCGACCGAAGTTGCTCGGCTCCCAGAAATTGGAAACGGAACAAAAGTATTCGTGCCAAAAGTTACCAAGGTTAGTTTTCATCACTTCCATATTTTTATTATGACTTATGACTGAAATAAGTTCATCATCTCCCCCTTTTCGTGTACAGACTAATATGATATATCTTTGGAATATTATCTGTTCGAACAAACTGTCTTGTAGCAAGAGAATCAATAATGTTGTTATTTTCACAACTGGAGGAATAGCCAGAAACAAGTTACTTCTAGGCATATAGCCAAATCAAGTTTTGACATTAAGAATTAGGAATATGGTTGCTTTGTCTAAAGAGCTTCATTATTCTACTTCTGTACCTAATTTTGATTTGGCTGGTTATTCCAGTTGTGGGAAACCGGTAACCCCAGTTCCTGAAAAGAAAAAGGAAACAAATATAGTTGAGACAACCTAGTGAGGGTGGCGGACCTAAAACGAGGCCTACAGATACTAGCCCCTAGGGCATTTTCAGACAACCATGAGCTTCCTGCCTGGTCCCGAACTTGAACACAGGTGGGCTTGCATGTACTCACGCACCTCGCTGACTGAGCAACACTCTCCAGTTCTCTACCTCCCTGTTAAAGAAAAGGGTGGAAGTGAAATAGTTGAGATATGGCCGACCTAAAAAAGCTGTGAAACCTGATGATATGTGGTGCAATATGACACCACAGTCTCCTTTCGTTTTAGTTCCGACAAAATATCAGGGCTGGCTATCTGGCATTGTGCCTCAATCAAAGCACTGATTACCGAGATGTTAACACATCAAAGCTGCATCAATGATAGAGCTCCTGAAACTTCAGTTAGCTACACTGTCTTCCTCACTGACCTTATTGTCAAATTCAACTATATCAAGCATTAATGATGAGCTTCAACTATGTGGTATTGCTTTTGGGAGAGATGTATGATATAGTGATATTATGCCTATACCTTTCTTGCAGAAGCTTCTCTGCCAGCACTTTGATCTTGACAGGCGACTGATTGAATTCCTGTCTACCTAGTTGTAAGTCAGCCAGATATGACTTTCACTGTCCTTTTCATTTCACCATCTAGAGAACACCTGTCAACTGAATTCATCCTGTCGTAGGATCCATTGTCTATCCCAGGTGTGTCAAATTGAAGGTGACAATTCGGACAAGATAAATGGACCAGACAGTTGTGTGGAAGCGATTACTTCAAGGGGGGCATCTTCAAGCTTGTTTTATTCGATGGGTTTGGTCGCACCCATCCAATCCAAGGCCAGTATACTTTGTGGCGACAAATATGTTTTCGCATCTTACTAGTTACTACGACCTGTCACTTCTTGAATTCTGGAATGTTACTGCCCCTGTATAGATCTTGTAATGATTCGCCGACTATGCTTTCCACTGCAGTATCCAGACACCATTCGTTTCCAAAGTGCAGTGTGTCTCGGAATTTGTTTGGATCTCGGTGCCTTTTCCAAGCGGTAATGGCCTGCACGGTAGGCCATCCTGTCCCCCCTTAAACCCCGTTCCATTATCTGCCACATGCCCGATGCTTTTCCATGTGAATTCACATCTTAAATATGTGCTTAGTGCTCTCCTTGATAATCTTGATTGAAAAAATATAAAACTCAAAGCATTGCATTTGGCCACCGCCATTGGTAAGTGGGGGAAAAGTGGGATTTTGGTGGCATTGTTAACAAAAGCTGACTGCCCAGTGAGAGGAGGGATTGGTGGTGGGTTTAGAATAAGTCTGCTGGTTATTCAAAAGAAGGGGCGATGGGCTGATAAGATCACCAAAAAAATATTAGTTTTGCAAATCTGGGGAGGCCAAAGAGGACCATGGATGGGTGATTAGCTTAGAATAACACAAAAGGTGTGCATATCCAGGCCATGACACGTCAGACCCAGGTTAGGTGTTGGTAGTGGGATAGGACAAGCCCTAGCTTTTTAGCTTTGGCCGTTTTTAATACAAAAAATATATGTTTTCATATGTTTGCAGCAGAGTATCTCCTCTCCTCAGAGTGGAAAAGGAAGCATGGAGTATCTCCTTTTGAGTTTTGATATGAGGTAAAGTGTGGTCTTGGCAGGTGCCATGTGGACCAGTACTCAATAGTGGTTGGCTTGGAGCTGTCAAGCTGATAGCCTGCAACCCCCCTTTGTGGCTACCTGCATTAATACGATATCATTGCAGTGTAATGCAGATGGGAACTAGAGATCTATAACTTGTAGTGTGGATTCATTTAAATGACCAAACAAAAACCTAAACTGATATGTTTCTAGGCCCTTCTGATTGCGCATTCCTACAAAATTTCTATGAGGTGGCTCAATCTATGTGGAATATGATGAGAAATTTGAACTTGCTAGGCTAGATCTCTAGGAAACAATTTTTGTGCGCTGTTAGAGCAAACATCTTTCGAGGTCAATAGTGTTGTTTGTATTCTTATAGAATTGCGCTGCATTGCCACTCCTATATAGTTGCCATGTTTTTCTTCTTCGATTTCCCACATTTCAGAGTGGCAATGGTTTTGGTTCTAGAGAAAATGGACATAAATAGCAAATTTGTCAGTGTCCATACTACGTACTGGTTACATTTTTTATGTGTATAAATCCTGCATTCCAAATAGGCTCATACCATCCTGAGGATGGTAATTTGCTCCCAAATACTGCAGGGACGAGGAGAAACCCATCTAGCATGTCTGCAAAATCATAAAATAAAACCTCACTCATGAAATTCGCCTGCAAATTCATGAAGGTAGACCCACCTGGAAAATAGGATCATATAAGACCCATTTTAAGAAAGTATCACATGCAGAATCGGAGCTCCTCAGTTGTAAAAAAGAAGAGAGAAAACAGTACTTCGAGCTATGCCAGAATTTTATTATCTACCTAAAGAGTCATGAAGTGAAGCATTTAACGGAAATTCTGCATAGTGAATATGCCCACGCATTTTTCACAATTAATAAAAAATTGCCCGGGTGTTTGACGAGTGCCTGAAGCCTTGTGAAGAGGTAGTAGTAGTAGTAGTAGTGGTAAAAGACATGGTGTTTGAAATGATCGCTGCCCGTTCTGGAACCGCGAGACCAGGATGGAGCAAAGCAGTAAAAAAGAAAGAGGCGGTAAAAAGAAGCGTTGCAAAGAAAGAAAGGGAAAGCCTGGGCGGATTTTCACCGACGCCGTGGTGTGTTGCTGAGATATACTGACACGGAATCTGTATGGGGCGGATGGGAGTCCAAGATGCGCAACGCCGGCTTTAATCAGGCTCCAATTGCCGAGGAAAATCCGCTTTCCCGCGCACACACAACCCGACCCGTTACGTGTTTTACTACTATACCAAAGGAGATGAGATGAAAGCCTCTCTGCCCCCCGTCTCCAATCTCGAGGAAAATTCTCTGGCTCTGATCAGGTACCGCTGCTTTGCTCTTTGGAGCAGCCTCCTGCTCTCTTGCTTTGCCTTCAGAAACGGCTATCAGATCATCGAAGGAAAATCGAAATAGCACTAAAATCGCACACAATTGTTAGAGACCTTGAACGCTGAAGAAATCTGGATTCATTTCTGGACCGCCGAAGGGATGTATATTTTTTGTTTTTGTTTTGTTTTCTAGAGGAGTTTTGAGTGTTTCTATGGAAGAGGGATCAGGGGAGAGATGCGGCACGCCCAAGAGGGCCATATAATTAGCGAACTTACGCAAACCCACGAGGAATATCCGCGGGCGATCTCCAGGATCGAGAGCTCACGCCCTGGCTCAGGGGGAATGTCTCTTGAGCATAGCGCTCGCGGAAATATTGAAAGGAGGAGGGCAGCAGGGAAAAGATAAAGGAAAAGGGATTCCTTTAGCCATCGCTGCTGCTGAATTTTCCAGTTGTTTTCTCTGTCTGTGCGTGGCGCGCGCGACAAAGGAAAAAGATGCAGCTTGTATTCTACCGATAGAAAAACAGGTAAAGAAGAAAAAAAGATAAGTAAAGCCTCGAATCTGCTAAAGCATGTGCGGAAAGCTTCCAGTTAGTTGCGTCCGCAAACTAGTGTGTAGTGGTCCGTTGTTTTTTTTTTTTAAAGTTAAACTACGGTACTGATTCTAACTGGGAATGTGCACAGCACACTCTGATGATCGGGTATTTCTGATAATCCTCGCTAGCTCCAAATAGCTTCTGAATTTTAATTACTGACAAAAGTAATGTGTGTAGCATGTTTGGATGGGTAGTTTCGCCGGATTCTATGGGTGCTGGACTGTTTTTTTGTCTGTAAAATTTATGCGAAATTCGAGTGAAATCCCTGCATCCTGAATGGTTTACTGTTGTTGGCGGAGGACACGAAAAATGCCGGAATCGGATTGGATGAGCCGGCACGGAGTTGAAGTGTTTTCTTTCTTTCTTTTCTGCAAAATCCCTGCGCTCTGAAGACGGATGGTTTAACTGCTGCTGTAGGTGGGGGAGATGAGATGAACAAAAACTATGGCGGACGGCCGGGAATGGGTTGGATGAGGCCGCACGGAGCTTTCCTTTTCGAAATTTAATAGCACGCGCGCGCGGTTGGTTCGATCGGTCGACCGAGTTTTTTTCCTTTTGCTTCTGCCTTCTTTAAAGAAGAAGCGACACTACAGCTCGTCGACCCAAAAAGCACGGCCCTCCTTGTGCTTGCCGATGCCCGGCCACTAGCTATCGGAAATTAAGCTAAGCGAGCGGCACCGGCACCGGCGCTCCGGCCATGGCCTCTCGCGCCCTCCCACCTTCCCCATGCTAGCCACATGCCCCACCACCTAGGCCTTCTTCCTCACTCCACTCTACTAGTCCACGTACGTACCCTTCAACCAACGGCTGCAGGGTAGAGAGAGGGATAGGTAGGTAGACACGTACGTACTTGTGGGTAGGTGCCGATGGTGACGGCGCGGGAGGCGAGGGAGGCGGCGGCGGCGGCGGCCATGGACGCGAGCAAGTACGTGCGCTACACGCCGGAGCAGGTGGAGGCGCTGGAGCGGCTCTACTACGAGTGCCCCAAGCCGAGCTCGCTGCGGCGGCAGCAGCTGGTCCGGGAGTGCGCCGTGCTGGCCAGCGTCGACCCCAAGCAGATCAAGGTGTGGTTCCAGAACCGCCGCTGCCGGGAGAAGCAGCGCAAGGAGTCCGGCCGCCTGCAGTCGCTCAACCGCAAGCTCGCCGCCATGAACAAGCTGCTCATGGAGGAGAACGACCGCCTCCAGAAGCAGGTCTCCCACCTCGTCTACGAGAACGGTTACTACCGCCAGCAGACGCACAGCGTACGCCCTCCTCCACCTCCCCCGTCCCCGGCGACGATGATGAGCCCACCTCCCTTGTTGCCGCCGCCGCGAGCTCACGCCTTTACTCCTCCTCCTCCTGTTCTCCCGTTGCCGTTGCAGGCGGGGCTGGCCACCACGGACACGAGCTGCGAGTCGGTCGTCACCAGCGGCCAGCAGAACGGCGTCGTCGTCGTGCCGCCGCCGCCGCCCCGCGATGCCAGCCCTGCTGGGTACGTTACTTGTGTTCGGTCCTTGCAGGAGGCCATGTTCATCTCTTTGCTTTTGTTTTCTTTTCCTATATATGTATAGCAGCCAGCTAGTTTCTGTGTGATGTGTATGCATGGATTTTTAGTACTGCTTGTTTCCTGCAGATTGATGTCCATCGCGGAGGAGACATTAACGGAGTTTCTGTCCAAGGCCACCGGAACCGCCGTCGAGTGGGTCCAAATGCCTGGGATGAAGGTCTCTTTCCTCTCAACTCCCATCAGTTTCCCTCTTTCTGAACTTTCAACTTCTTGCTTGCATGGTGTGCTCAACCAACCATTCGTGTTGTCTGCAGCCTGGTCCGGATTCCATTGGAATCATCGCCATCTCGCATGGCTGCGCGGGTGTTGCTGCGCGAGCTTGCGGCCTCGTAGGCATGGAGCCTGCCAAAGTAAGCTCATTGCTTTCACCTCTTTTTTTTTTGGACTATTTCCTTGCTTTCACTCCACTACACCTCCCCGCTTTTAGTTTTGTTAAAATCAAAGAGTGTTCCTGACTGTTGCCGACTCAGGTTGCCGAAATCCTCAAGGATCGGCCACTGTGGCTGCGTGATTGCCGCTCTATGGAGGTAGTAAATGTGCTGCCTGCTGGTAGCAATGGCACGATCGAGCTGCTCTACATGCAGGTAGGAACAGCCTCGTTAACTCTCCCATGAGTCCATGACAGACCTTAGCTGATACCCTGTCATGAACTTCACATCTTTTGCCATCTGTACGCAGCTCTATGCTCCGACGACATTAGCACCAGCTCGTGACTTCTGGTTGATGCGGTACACCTCCATTCTTGATGATGGAAGCCTAGTGGTGAGTTACTGATCATTGACCGTTCATGTCCAATTAGTATCATTGCGTGTTCATGCGTCAGCCACCTGACTGTTTTTGCTCTAAAGGTATGTGAAAGATCACTCAGTACCAAGCAAGGAGGCCCCAGCATGCCCCTTGTGCAGCCTTTTGTTAGAGGTGAGATGCTTCCCAGCGGGTTCTTGATCCGGCCTAGTGATGGTGGAGGTAGCGTGATTCACATCGTTGACCATTTGGACCTGGAGGTAATAACAATTCAGCAACAAATGACAAACTGTTTCTTTATCTAGTTTAACTATCACAGAAAACTAAGCAAGCTACTTTGCGTTCGTGCACAGCCTTGGAGTGTGCCTGAAGTTGTGAGGCCGCTGTATGAATCTTCTGCCATGGTGGCCCAGAAGATGTCGATGGCGGTACTATAACATGGACTATACTCTATTTTTATTGCTCTTGATAACACTTCATGCTTACGCATAAAACATTAATATTTGGAGTAACACAATTTTGCAAATCCAGGCCTTGCGCTATCTCAGACAAGTTGCTCATGAAGATACTCATTCTGTAATCACTGGATGGGGCAGACAGCCTGCAGCCTTGCGGGCTCTGAGCCAAAAGCTCACCAGGTTGGGCTCTTGAACAGCACAGGCAGATTGTAGATGCTCCTTATCATGAATCTGTTTCAGTAAAGAGTGTAACTGATTCCGCACCTGTTTTCAGAGGTTTCAATGAAACTCTTGGCGGGCTTGCTGATGATGGATGGTCCGTGATTGAGAGCGATGGCGTAGATGATGTTTGTATCTCTGTTAATTCATCCCCGAGTAAATTGATGAGTTGCAACGCAACATTCAATGATGGACTGCCCATGGTTAGTACTGGTGTTCTTTGTGCAAAGGCGTCGATGTTGTTGCAGGTTAGTTTCTTTACACACTTCAAGTTTGTTTTCCTGAAAAAGAGTCTGATATTAACATTGGTTCTGATAATGATTGTAGGATGTCTCACCACCATCACTACTGCGGTTTTTGCGGGAGCATCGGTCGCAGTGGGCCGATAGCAGTTTAGATGCATTCTTTGCTTCCGCGCTGAAACCGAATTTCTGCAATTTACCTATGTCTCGTCTTGGAGGATTTAGCGGCCAGGTTATACTTCCATTAGCGCACACGTTTGACCCTGAAGAAGTAAGCTCCTGGTCTTCTGTAAATTTTACAAACCCCTGCCTCATAGTATCCTTCTGCTCCATGTTTTAACTGCGCGATTTATTATCTTCAGTTCTTGGAAGTTATCAAGATAGGAAATGCCAGTAACTATCAAGATACATTGATGCATCGTGATCTTTTCCTGTTGCAGGTGAGTTTTGCTTCTTAATGCCATTTTTTCACTACCTAACCGAACGAGATAACCTGATGCACATATTCTCATCAATTTGCTCATCTGAGCTTTTGGGAAAATAATTTGTCTCCTTTGTAAATTTGTCCTCTGGATTGAATTGGCAGATGTACAACGGGATAGACGAGAACCCCATGGGCACTTGTTCAGAGCTTATCTTTGCACCCATAGACGCATCTTTCAGCGATGATTCTCCGCTGCTGCCCTCCGGTTTCCGCATCATTCCGATCGACTCCCCTCTTGTGAGTAGATTTCACCCAAATATGAGACAACATCTCAGCTTGAGACCGTCAATTTAATTCTCTTCTTGCTGCATGTATGTTTCGCAGGACACGTCTAGCCCAAACTGCACGTTGGACCTCGCGTCCACCCTCGAGGCTGGAACACCCGGAAGCAGGATAGCCGGTCACTCCAGGAGTGGATCGAAGGCTGTCATGACGATCGCGTTTCAGTTTGCCTTCGAGAGCCACCTGCAGGACAGCGTGGCGGCCATGGCGCGGCAGTACATGCGCAGCATCATCTCGTCGGTGCAGAGGATAGCGTTGGCGCTGTCGTCCTCGCACCTCGTGCCGCATGGAAGCTCTCGCCTCCTCCCCCCTGTTACTCCGGAGGCGGCCACGCTCTCCCGATGGATTGTCCAGAGCTACAGGTCTGTAGTCTTGCGGTTATCATGGTATACCAGGGTGTGTTCGGTTAGTTTGTGTTTTGTCCTGATGCTGCTGGGTTGATCGTGTCCAGATTTCACTTCGGCGCCGAGCTCATCAAAGCCGCAGACGCTGGCAGCGGCGAGTCGGCGCTCAAGGCCCTCTGGCACCATACCAGCGCCATCCTATGCTGCTCTCTCAAGGTACTGTTACAGGGTTTTACTCACCTTGAACTGCTTCTTTCAACACTATGGTCTGTTTGTTATCGCTGACTCGATCTATGGTGCTGTGACGGTGCAGGCGATGCCGGTGCTGACGTTCGCGAACCAGTCCGGGCTGGACATGCTGGAGACGACGCTGGCGGCGCTCCGGGAGATGACCATGGACAAGGTGCTGGACTGCGACCAGGGGAGGAAGGGCCTGCTGTGCGCGGACCTGATGGCGAGCGTCGCGGAGCAGGGGTACGCGTGCGTCGAGGGCGGGACGTGCGCGTCGAGCATGGGCCGGCCGGCGTCGTACGGGAAGGCGGTGGCGTGGAAGGTGCTCGACGACGGCGGCGCCGGCGCCGGCGGCGCCCACTGCGTCTGCTTCGCCTTCATGGACTGGTCCTTCGTTTAGTCGAGGGGGCCGATCGTTTGTTGTCGCTGTTGTTGCCAAGTCTCGAGCATCGGACCTGAGTGCGTAGTAACTTCGTGGGACTGTTGGGTGCGCGGTACAATGTTTGGATCGATGGCGGTGTTCTGTACGGATTGATGGTGCGCCGAGATTGGTGATGCTGTTTGCTTGGTCTGTACTACTTACATTTCCTCCTTTTATCTTCTACTCTATCTACAAGCAATGGGTACAACTTAGAAGCGGACGCACATGCTCACACCACCACATGTACCATCATCAGACCATCGTCAGACCATCCGGCAACCGTCGGTTCTATTAGAATTGCACGGTTGTAGAGATGCCTTATCCCGATAGCCAAAGGAGCTAATCACCCGTGTAATAACTCCCTTCCTAAATTCCCCTGGCCGCCGGTGCCGCTCCCTTGCCCTCCGTCGACCCTGCTCCCCTGGCCGGGACCTCGCTGCCTTCGCCTTCCCAGGCCGTTGCCGCCCCCGCCGCGACTGTCGCGCCGCTGCGCTGGGCCGATTTGGCTGAGGACGATGACACCGCTGCCGGCCGCCCCATCGTCCGGCGAGACCTGCCGGCCCGCCGCGTGGCGCCTCGGCCTGGGCTGGTGGCCTCACCGCGGCACGGCTGCCCGTCCTCCCCTTCGGCTTGCCGGCCTCCTCCTCTCCCCCTCCTGCCGACCCCGCGCAAAAGGGCCTCCCTTGGGTCTAGGACCGCTCGCCACCGCCGCGCTCCGGCGTGGGGTGTCGCGGGGCGGTCCGACCTGGGCAGTGCTCGACGCTCTTGGCGCCCCGCCACGGTCACCGGCCGGCCCGCCGCGTCTTCGCCGGCGACTGCTTCTTCGGTGGTCAGCCGTCGTTCCCCCTTCCGCCCGTTCATAGCCGCGTTTGGATCCTCCTCGCTCCGGTTCTCCCCCTCCTAGCCCCTCCGCCGCCCTTGGCTCGCCGTGGTACCTAGGTTGACGCCGGCGCCGGCCGCGGTGGTGGCCGCAGCGTCGGGGGAAACCCTAGGTGCTGCCGCCCCGCCCCGCTGGCTGGGCCGCGCCGCTGTGGGCCAGAAGGCGCCTGGGCCTGGCGCTGGGCCCCCACCTGGTGCGGCTACGCCTTCGGGCCAGCCCACTTTGGCGCGTTCCTGGGCCGGTCCGACCGGCCCGGCGATTCGGCCTATTTTGGACGCCGAGCGGTTTCCCCAGGCACCCCATCTCGCCCCCTCCCACCTCTGTTCGAACCCTAGCCCGCGCCCCATCCTCCCTCGCCGCCGGCGACGTCCCCCCTCCCCGCCGTCGCCCCCCGCTGGCATGACCTGGGACTGGCATGACGCGGCCCCGCGGCCCAAACGCCGCGTTGATGAGCGCAGGCCCGACGACGCCCGCGTGGACGACCGACGTGATGACCGGCACAACTCCTCCCGCCCCTCCCCCGACGCCCTCCGTCATGAGGCCGACCTCCGCCGGCAACTCGCTAGCCGCGGTGACCGCCGGTCGCCTCCTCGCGAGACTCGCCGGTCCCCTCCTTGCCGCTCGCCCGGCCGGTCGGACCTCTGGGGCCGGTCCCGTTCGCCGCCTCCCACCTCCGAGTGGCGCGACCAGCGCCGCCTCTCGCCCTCCCCGGTTCGCCGGTGGGACTCCAGTCGATCCCCTGCGCGCTCCGGTCGCCCCCGGTCTCCTAACTGCTCCCAGGCCGCGGCCCGGCAAGGCCCTCCGCCCCCCGCTGCCCAACCTCACCGGTACCAGCCCCCGCGGGCAATGGCGCGGGTCGGGGCCGGCCGGGCGGCAAACGCAAGAAGAAGAGGGGTTTGGGGCGTGCCAATGCCGCAACCCCGGCCATTGGTTCTTCTCGGGACCTGGCGGCTTCCACCACAACGGCGCTTCTCCCTGATGACCGCATCTCCGACCTTGTCAAGTGCTTCAATTGCGGCCTTTCCGGCCACTCCCAGGTCGCTTGTACTCGTCCCTAGGGTTGCTACCTCTGCTCGGATCCTGACCACCCGGCGATCCTGTGCCCCGACCGCCCGGTGCCGGAGGAGTGTTGGATGTACGGGCATGGGATTGAGGGCCTCGGCTTCTTCCACGTCGAGGTGCCTAACATCCCCTCCCCCTCACCATCGCTCATGGTGCTTGTCACATGAAGGATGGGGTCGCCTCGCCGGAGATGTTAGAGGAAGAGCTCAACCATCTCTACCACTGTTCCTGGGATTGGCAGGTCACCATGCTCCCCGGAGGCCAGTTCTCGGTTGTGTTCTCCGACGCCATCAGCCACGGCTACGGCACCCGCAGCGGAGACATCACTCTAGCCCTTCACGGCCTAGTAGTGGACATCTCCGTGCCGGTGCGGGACCCCCTGGCGGTGGCGGTCTTGGACACTGCTTGGATCCTCATCGGGGGCCTACCCGACATCGCTCGTTCAGAGCGGGTTATTCGGAGCATGTCCCGCATCCTCGGCAAGGTGGTGGTCGTGGACGAGCTGTCCCTCCGCAAGGACGAGGAGGTTCGCGTCAAGGTCAAATGCCTCGACTCATCCAAGCTTCACGCCACGATCCGGGTGTTCTTCAACGATCAGGGTTTTGACCTCCGCATCTCCCCCGAGCCGCCCAACCACATTGGCCGCCCCCACATCCCCGACGACAGCTTCTTGGAGGGTGGGCCAGGCGGAGATGGGGCGGGGGATCGGTGCAGTGACCGCGACCCCCGTCACGGACACCGCTTCGGCTCGGAGGAGGACGACAATGACTCCAAGGACAGTCCTCCTCACGACCAGCCCCCCACCCCTGCTAGGAGTGGCGGCGGGACCGGCCGCACCCGCTCCTCGGCCATTACGCCGCCCCCCGACGATGGCCTCGACGCTTCGAACGCCAGCCTTCAAGTCTTCCCCGTCTCATCACCTCGCTCCCCCGTCGGTCAGCTGCTTGATGTCTTCACCAACCTCTCCGTCGAGGCCACCCCGGACCCGCCCCGCTCGGCCGCGCCCATGCTTCCCGCTCCGTTGGTGGGGTCCCCGAGGGCGGTCGTGGCCACCCTGAACCCGACCCCCTCTGACCCGGCCGATGCTGATGCAGCGCTATGTTGGAGATATGCCCTAGAGGCAATTATGTATGATGATATTTCCTATGTGTTTATGAATAAAGATAGTCCTTGGACATTATCAATGATGTGTATCAGCAAGTACGTGACTTGTTTGCGGGATTATGCATTGTATGATGACTGTCCTAAAAGGTCCCTAGTCGAAAGGGCTGTGTGGACGCGCAGCCAACTAGACTAGCATATGACACGGTCGATGGCTTGGTCTCACTAGCCATGGAGCATTGGATGCTAACCGGATAATATGGACTTGGACGGATCTGGTCGGATTCGACGTAGTCGGATCCGAGTCGAGATAAGGTCTAAGTCAGACAGACCCAACTATGAGACGCAACGATATGTCATCTGTGAGTCTCTAGTACAATATATGTTCTATGTCCTAAGACCTGAGCTGACGCATGTACTCAGGATGGTGACAGACTTGCTTTGGGCCGACCAAACGCTACTCCGTGACTGGGTAGTTACAAAGGTAGGTTTCAGGCTTGTCCAGACCCATGCTGCGAGACATGGTCGAGCAAGATGAGATTTGCCCCTTCGACCAGGAGAGATATACTCTGGGCCCCTCGTGTGATCCGACCAGGATAAGCATGGCCATGCGACAAGGATTATGAGATAATCCGGATAGTGGTCGGCATCACTGGAACGAGAAAGAGGTCGGGCTACCACAAGGATGACAGACTCGCCTTGAGCTCGACAACATGTATCGTGTGGCAAAAGGAATGGAAGTGTGATGTACAGGTTCACTAACCAGCTTCATAGTCTGCTTGGTGTTCGGCATGCCTTGCTAGAGGCCGCTACCAACCGTGCAGTTCGGAGGTGATCTGAACTGCGACCAAGCCGACTTGAACCTAAGGGGTCACACGCTTAAGGGAAGGAACCTACGAGGTCGGATCCGAGGACACTGGTTGGATGTGATCCGAACTGTATTCGGATTATGGCCGAGTAGACTTATGGGCTTTAGGGTCCGTGCGGGGCCCAAGTGTTGAGCCCGTGACGGATGCCTATATATAGTGGAGGTGTGCACACTCATGCGGTTGATCGCTTTGGCGCTGTCACTAGGGTTTGCATGTGTTGCGAATAGACACCGCACTCGCCGCCGGTTGTGTTACCGGACCTAGCAATCCGCCGCACGACGTTCCTCCTGCACGCGCGGATACCGTTAGAGGCGGTGCACTTGTGCCGCTCTGGCGAACCTGTACGTGGGAACCAACCACCGGTTGTACAAGGGAGATCGGACGAGGAGGAGACGATCCACGTGGACGCGCTACCCCAACTCTTCTTCCGCTACACGGCACTGCGCGTCTAGTGGTAACGATCTGTGATCCATCTCCCGTAGCATGTTCTTGGTTGTTCTGCGCATAGGAATTTTTAATTTGCAGTTGTCGCACCCTATCGTAGATCCCAACACGCTGGAGATGACGCTGCTTTCCTCCCCGCTGCCTGCGGCAGCCAGGACGCAGCCGGGGGTGGAGATCCAGCCTTCCGACGACGATCTGGCTCCGGCGCCGCCAGCTCCTCCTGCTTTCGTGCGGCCTTGCGGCCCGACGCCTTCGAGTCTTTCTCTGATGCTCCTGGACCCCGCTGCCGTAGGGCTGCAGGTGGTGGTGACCACCCCGGTGGCCGCCCCCCCTCCACCCCCCGGACCGCGGCCTACTCCAGGCGGGCTAGGTCGACCTCGTCGCTGGTGACCTCCTCCCGTCGCAGTGCTCGGATCGAGGCGGCCAGGCCGGTTGGCAGCCCTGCTCTACCTATTCCCGAGCAGGCAGTGAAGAAAATATGCCCTAGAGGCAATAATAATGTTATTATTTTATTTCCTTATATCATGATAAATGTTTATTATTCATGCTAGAATTGTATTATCCGGAAACATAATACTTGTGTGAATACATAGACAAACCAAACGTCACTAGTATGCCTCTAC